GGGCGTGTTGAGCTGGCCAATGAGACCGAGTGTAGTGGTGCCCGCCTGCCTGTAATCCCAGTGCTGGGGAGGCAGAAGACAGGAGGATCACTAGAGTCTGATCTCCATAGTGAGACCCTCTACCAAATACATTAACAAAGAAAGAAAGAAAGAAAGAAAGAAAACAAAAAAAGTTAGAAAATGAAAAACTGACGTAATTATTAACTTGCCAGCCTTAACCATATGAACTAGATTTATGATTTATATAACAAAATAAAGCAAAGCAGAAAACTGTACATAGTAAATATGCTCACAGTATGGCAATTTTGCCCTCAGGGGTGTAAATTTAAAAGGAGTTAGGGGAAAAAAAATAGAAACACTGAGAAGGAAGAGATTAGGAGTAAAGGCTGGAGGACAAGAAGACACAAAGTTTGGAAAACTGATAAAGAAGACAGAAGGGAGAGGGAGCAGGAAGAAATAAAAGCAAAAACACAACAAAAAGCCTAGAAGGAATGTTCATGTTCATATGAAAGAAAGAAAGAAAGAAAGAAAGAAAGAAAGAAAGAAAGAAAGAAAGAATCAGGAACAAAACAAATCAAAAACAAAAAAAGCCACACACAAACAAACAAACAAAACCAAATCAAAAACAAGGGCTGACCAAATAGCTCAGTGGATTAAAGCACCTTCTTGGGCAGATGGAGGGGCTGGGGTGCACTGAGACAGCAACTGAGACTGGTTGTGGTGGTGTGTGCCTGTAATCCCAGCACTTGAAAGGTTGTAAACAGGAGGACCACTAGGATTCTGATCTATGCAGTGAGACCCTGAATGCCCTGTACCTCCTGTCCTAAATACAAACAACAACAACAAAACAAGAACAGAGAAGAAAATAAGAAAAACATATATGCACTTTAAAGTTTGTCTTGGGCGAGTGAGTGAGACGACCCAGGCCGCGGGGTCCTGAACAGACCCGGAGCGCAGGCCCGGCGAGTGAGTGAGACTTCCCCGGCCCAGGCATCCTCTTCTGACCCAGGCTGCAGGCCCAGCAGGGAACCCTTCAGCAGAACTCCCTGCAAGGAGGCTAGAGGCAAAACCCACACAGCTGATTCAGGAGCAGAACATCTTGCC